TGCAGGAAATGGAACCAGACTTGAGAAATACCAGTCAATGGCACACCAAAAACAACAAGGTTAAAATTACACTTTGTCAGGCGATTTCCATCACTACCTGATGTAATTCATCAATATCTGTGATTTCATATCTACTAATATTTATTGACCAAAAAGAATGGTGGTAAGGGATGATTTAAAGAAAATGTGTTTCAAAAATAGATCAGAGGTATTAAATATTAAGAGGAAACATTAGGCAAGTGTTTATTATGTGCTTAGGGATTAGGTTAAAACTCTTCAGACACAATCTCACATTCCTTAGGTGAACCAATTGAATGAAGTTTGGCTTTATTTAACACATGATGGTTTATTTAACAAGGGAGGGTTTAAATGATGGGACTACTAAAAGCTCAGATCTTACCACGATAGAACATATCTTTGTAACAATTGTGCACTTGTATCCACTAAATATATTGAAATTTTAAAAATCAGATGATAAGAAATTTATAACAACTGAATCAATAAAATAAAGAACAAAATAAAGGTATTTTCCTGAAATAACATTATATATTGAAAAATGTTTCTAAACAAGTGGATATGATTATATGTATATGTGAAATTTATGTGAAGAGTTTTTTAAATTATCTGTGATGGTTTTGATTATAGTTATGAACAGTAATTAGTACATAAGAGCTCTTCTTTTAAGCACTATGATCTTTGGTGTTTTTTTTGAACAGTATGAAGGATATTTTATGCATAATAATACACATAGTTCAATGGCTTAATATCTTCCACAAACCAAAGGAGGTTTATCACATCAAAAACCAATTAAATATGGAAAATTTCATATAGAAGGCATAGTTTTTTTTTTCTCAATAGCATTTGTGTGACATCATATGATTCTATTCCTAACTGAAGTAGGCATGGATTATATATAAACTTATGCCCCATAATAACAAATACTAGGATCAACTAGTAGTTACTAAGTAGCTATCACTAAAACTTTAAATCATATTTGTTGAAGAGGAACTCTGAAAACATTTATCATCTTTAATTAATCATTTATTTTAAAAAATGAATAGTATTAAGATTCTAGATTGTATCTGCAAGCATAAGCTTAAATACTTTCTGTAATATCCATTTTTAAGATGTAATTTTTATAAATATATATATTTTAATAAAACCCATTAAGTAATTTTAGTGTTTACTGACCATTATAATTTAAGAGGTTTCCAATAGAAGTGTCAGATTGCAACAAATTAAGAAAACAAAACAAAGTTTCTTCTGACTTTTCAAATGCATTTGATTGATGGAAGTATCATTGAAATGCATATGAGAAGGCCAACCGTACTTCATGAAATTCTGACTCACCTACACAGGCATGCATCATGAAGACTGGGAGACACGGTAAAATCCTAGCACTCCTGCTACTCCCTGTGTGACCTTGGGCAAATCCTTGTATTTCTGAGCTCCATTTCCCTCTTCTACAAGCTTGGGATGACAAGTGGACTTAGCTCATGGGAATATTTCAGGAATAAATTGTTGTAGATACATTTTCAAAAGACAACCTTAACAATAACTCCCATCTGATGTACTTGTCTACGTGTGATTGTGAATCCTTCCCCATCAAGTGGGTAAGTCTTGTTCCTCTTACATTGGATTGAAGCTGGCCTTATAATTTCTTTGCAACATTTAAGTGGCAGAAGTGACACTGTGTGACTTCCAAGATTAATTCAGAAAAGTCCAGGTAGGGTCTGTCTGGCCTGATTGTCTTCCAATGTTCTCTCTGGAGAAAGCCTGCTCACATAGAAGGGGACAGACTGTTGTGAGCTGGCCATGCTGGAGACACTTCATGTACGTGTTCCAAAAACACCTTCCACCTGAGCCTACAACTCACACCCAGCACTGACTGCCAGCAACTTTAGTGAGCCCTCCTGCCTTCTCAGCACAGTCGATCGATCCTTCCTGTACCTACAACTACAAACAGCATTTGCGAGTAAGCACATTAGGAAGTCCAAGTGATGTCCCCCAGGTAAGCCTCACTCAAATTCCCAATTCACAAAATCATAAAAATCAGAAGATACTTGATTTATGCTGCTTTGGGGGTCATTTATTATATAGCAAGAATATCAAAAGATAAACTGAGATAATGTGAATATAGTGATTATTAAATTGTTGTTAGCATATCCATTGAACAGTGAACACTTCTTACAGACTCTGAATATTTATTCCACGAGGAGGGAGCTCTTCCTACACACCATTTCTGGGTTTTACAACTCCCTTACTTCTTCCAAGAAGTCTCCCAACATTCACTTAGGCAAAGATTTATGCCACATGGTATTTTATCCTCAGCCATTTCTTTTATCTTGTCTGGTAATTGATTGTGAATTAGACTAGAAAAAGGAATTCTGTGAACTGAGATCCCACTTTGAAATTGAATACATTTGCTAAACATAGTGTCATGTTGTTGGGTGAAATTATTGTTTGAAGTATAAGACGTTGCAGATATTTCACCATCTATGACTTACATGATTGAAATGTTATCAAAACTTTGACTGGTTTTGCATAAGAGGAACTTTTATTTTGTTTAATTTTGTTTTGTATTAACCAGGTCCCTCTTTGGTACCCACTAATCTGCTAAGAACATATTTTCTATGGAATAGATTGACTGTTAAATTTCATCTTGACTTAGAGTTAAGAGTTGTTTTCTAAAATATAGCCTGAAAACTATATGACACCAACTGATTCGTTTATTAAATACGCATTCCTAGGCCCCAGGCTCCACAAAATAAATTAAGTTGCAGGAATAGGAATCCAGAATCTGCATTATAATAGGGCATTTAAGGGACTTCTGTGTAAAGGACAATCTTCTGCTACTTTCCTGGTGAGAATGATATCATCTCAATATCCTCAGTGATAGTGTTTAATCACACCATAGGTGTCAGACTTAATGAACTCTCTTAACAACCATAATTTAGGGTGGCACCTGTACTTCAATGAGTAGGGCACCAGCCCCATATACTGAGGGTGGCAGGTTCAAATCTAGCCCTGGCCAAACTGCAAAACAACAAAAAATAGCTGGGCATTGTGGTTGGCATCTGTAGTCCCAGCTACTCAGGAAGCTGAGGCAAGAGAATCACCTAAGCCCAAGAGCTGCAGGGGACTAAATCTATCTTTTAAAAAGTTCAGATAAAATTGCCAGAGCTGAAGCATCATAATTGGCAGAGCTGCGATTCAAAACTTGATCTACTTTCTTTCCAAGCTCAGCTAAACCATTCAATTTGTGAATTGTGTTGCTAAAGAAACCAGAAATATTAACAGAAAAGAGGCTTTCTATAACTCAAGAAATAAGGTGGGCATCTTAAAATATATTTGGAGAATTTAATGAAAAAAAGACAACAGCCTTAATTTCTTTATCCATGGGATAAAAGTGGTATAGAAAAGCATATTTGGGGTTCTGTAATTGCTTTGTGATTATTAAACCATCTCAAAAAAATTTAAAAGATATTTTTTTTAATTGGAATAGTCCTTAGTAAACATAAACTGAAAGGTTATTTTTCACAGGTAGTGAAATTTCTGTGTGTGGTTAGAGTGGTCTAAGGCATAGATCCTAAAATTAAATACAATGGTTTACTGTATTTGATATCATCATATTGATAAAATACCTGAGTACAATTCACCTCTCATTCTCAGCATATGTCTATTAAATGGAATATAAAAGCTATCTTTGAGAAGAGAACTTACAGAAATTTTACAGTAGATGGAACAATAATTAGACAGTATAGCCCTAAAAATATAAGCACTAAGGTCGGGAAAATTAATACCTTGATGATCTAATTTAAATAAATGCACTCATTTCAACTTTAGAAACAGTCTCGAATAGTTTTAAATATTTGACTGCATTTTACAAGTTTTATAGAAATTTAACCCTTTTCAGTTTTGGCAACTATACCATAGTAATCAATATCTATGATTTTCTGCAAAGAAAATATTAAAGCAAACTTAACACTTCTGAGAGCTGACAAAGACTATGACTATCATTTGCATTTTATAAATACTATTTTCAACTTGAATATATAAAATAAGTATATCAAAATAGCACAATTATTACCAAAAAATATATATTTTGTTCAAAATGCCATAATGAAGAGAAAATGGGGCAAAAAGGATGAAATATATAAGAACATATTCTTTCAAAATATAAGTAATAAGTGGATTAGAGAGACAGCTTTTTGTCAATTTATGGGGTTAGCATGTTATTAAATGTAACCCAGTGAATGGGATGATAGAAAGCATATTTTTACATAAAATGATTTCAATTTATATTTACTGTCCCCATTAGTAAGTTGACGCACATTGATGTGAACATATATTGTAGAAATCAGACTTTTTGCACAAATCAATTTAAATTAATGAAAAAAGTTTAAACAGGTTCCTTTTTAACACTTCCTTTGTAGAGAAAAGTTATATAGTAGCCTAATTTTATAATCTTAACTAATGTGAAAATGCCAATTCCTCCATATCTGACTTTACCAACATTTTCACTTTTATTTGTATTTAAAGTTTTATATGAATAATTGTGACAAATAACAACCATAAGAATTCATGAAGGGTACTGAAACATGTAGTAATGTTTAACTGATTTCTAGTTAACTTGAATCGGTTCTAGTGAAAGGTTAGACACCTTCATTGCAGGTATATAGGTGAAAATTGCGATAACATATTTCGAAGACTCAATATATAATTCACAGTCCATGTAAGCAACTTGGACAAAAATAGCACCAGTCTAAGAGTCTGTGACTTAATGAGCAACGTATTTAACTATTTCACACTGACATTTTTCTTCCCTGAAGTTTTAGACTGACTGTGGTAGGTAAGGCTACCTTTAAAAAATTAAATCATTTATGGGTTTTCTAAAAGTAAGTAAATTGGAGACTAGGAGAGATCAAATAATATTCAAAACACTAGAAATTACAGTGTTAGCATATATTGAGAACTACTACATATTGAGAGGATGTTACCTTATCACCTTCAGAAAATGTGATGCCATCCACAGCTCTTTTCCAAGTGATTTCTGGAAGAGGCTCCCCTTCTGCGTCACATATAAGTGTGACTTGACCATTCTCATATGTAGTTTCATTTTTAAGCTGTATTATATGAGGCTGTACTGTAAAGAATGTATACATTACTCAACAGGTATTGGAGAAAAATATTACTATTCAGACAGAAAAGCATGGTGGCCACATAAGCTTACTTTAGTACAGTCAGGGATTATTAACTTTGTAGTAATGACAGTGCCATGCTTTGCTTCACAGATGTACTAAGAAAGTTTCAAAATACATGAGAACCATGAAAAAATTAGGAAATGATGTTCATTACCATTTATTTTGAAATAGTTTAGGAACCAACATATAAATACACTTCTTTCCAAAAGTTTACCTTACAATTGGAAAGCTATCTTACAATTTATTTCCATTTTTAAAGCCCTCAAAGGAAAAATGTTTTCTTTTAAAGCTACACATTTATATATGTTTTAAATTGGCCATGAATTTTATGGACACCCTGCGTCTACACACATGCATGCAGACACATGCACACACACATATTTGGTATATATTATACATATATGCTGTCTATTTATTTAACTATTATTTCTAGAACTATAATAACGATTTCACCAAAGTGGGAAAATGATGATGATATCGCATATGTAGTAAACATAATTATATAAAAATTGGAACATATTTACGAAGTAAATAGATGTCATTTATCTATATTATCCCAGTTTATTCATTGTGACTTCAGTTTACTTAATTATATATCAGACATTGTTGTAATCTTTCTTTGAAATTTTAACTTGTATAAAAGGAAAAATATGTCCAAAAATGCAAATAACCTTAATATTAAAAATGTCCCTGCATAAAATTACATCCCACAGCACTTTGTTTTATGAACTCTGTGTCATCTGCATTTCTCAAATTTTTGCTTTCTTAGACATAAAATAGATAAAATATAGCACATTATTTTAGTACAACCATTTCTTTAAATTTTTTAATAAAATTAACGAAGGAATACGTCTAAGTCCTTCTTAGTCTTAGAAAATAACATTTCTATTCTGATATCAGAAAAACATTTTAACAATTGACTGTTTATTCCTTTGTCTTTAATGGACCCCATTATATTCTCACTGTATGCACATGATTTTGTGTCCAAAGCAACAAAAATTTGTTCAAAATTTGTTACTATTTGTTCAAAATTTTGTCACAAAAACAAGTGATTACAATACTGACATAACATGTAATATTTCACGGATTATTTTCTATTTGAAAGGCTGACAATAGGAGAAGCTTTTATCCCTTTGTTCTCAATTATGGCCACCCTGGTAAAAAAACAAGTAAGTTAACGGTATTTCAGGAAAGCTCACTGAGATAGATTGTGAACATCCAGCCTTTGGAATTATTTCTGACACTATCATTTTTAATTAATTAATTTATTTTTATACTGAGTCATATTTACTTGGTGTTGTGGGTTTCAGAGAAAAACAACAGAGTTAAGTGAGAAATAGTGCTGGCACATGCTAGGGGCTTTTTCATAATTTTAAATAGTTTATTCTGCCCTCTCCACTAGCTATCTTCTTCAGGCTCTTAGCTGGACCTGCTTTTATCATTAAATATTTTTGTGGAAAGATAACCTAAACATTACCCTTCAGATTGACTTTCTGACACTATAGTACCCACGAGTATGGGTCATCGTGCTCTTTACCCAAAACTACCTGGTTTATCCAGTTTCACTCTCTTCTTAGAACATCTATTGTTCGAATTTCATTTTTTCATTTTAATACATTTTGATATATCTGTTTATTTTTGGTTTTAAAAATACTTCAGAGTGACCATAGAAAGCATATCCATGCAGATGTCACCTTTCACCTTGTGGCTGGTGTAAGGAGGCCCTCGGCCCCTGGGAGCTGAAACTGCCATCCTTCTTACTGTCACATAGTTTTCCATTCTTCCGCTTCCCTCTTTTTGTTGTGAAAGAATTTTGATTTTGACATTTTTAAAGACAGTAAAAATTAGTGTATTTTACAATGTGTGCATATACTGTAATGTTACTAGTGTATACATTTTAGTGTTATGGTGCTTAAAGAGAAAAATCATATCACAATACCAACAGCATTATTTTATTTCTTCTTGCAAACATAAATGAAAGCTAAATAATTTTTTTTTATATTTACAGTTTTATGTGATATGTAAGTTCTTTAAAAAAGGCAATATGGCTCTTGGCAAATATGGACCATATTTATATTTTATTTAAAAAAAAAAGAAAAGATGGGCAGTGCCTGTGGCTCAGTGAGTAGGGCGCTGACCCCATATACCAAGGGTGGTGGGTTCAAACCTGGCCCTAGCTGAACTAGTACAAAAAAATAGCTGGGTGTTGTGGTGGGCACCAGTAGTCCCAGCTACTCAGGAGGCTGAGGCAAGAGAATCACCTAAGCCCAAGAGCTGGAGGTTGCTGTGAGCTGTGAGGCCACAGCATTCTACTGAGGGCGACAAAGTGAGACTCGGTCTCTACAAAAATAAATAAAAAAAGAAAAGAGAATAATTATAGCTAAAGGTTAATGTTTCAAAATTATAGCCTTAGACATCTACTCTTTTCAAGTATATATAAGGTAAAACTAATAGCAACAATTTGTCATTTAAAGACTCATGAATATCAACAGCTTTATAACACACATTACAAATACCACTAAGTCTAAGTGAATTTTCTCCCAGCTTCTCTTATGACTGAGCAAATACCTTACAAAAATTTGCCTGTGTCATTTCATGTAATTCTTAAAATGACTGTTTCTGGAGCTAAAAATTCAACATATATTACAGAAAAGAAGAAACTGAGGTTTAATGATGAGCAATTTAAAGAGTCTGTATAAATGACAGGAGAACTTGACTCAGCTCTTCCTCTGGACAGCACGGCTTTAGCCACTGTGCTATACTTACCAAAGACTTGGAGGAAGGCCTGCTTTTCATCTTCCCCTGCCTTATTGGTGGCCTTGCAGACGTAAGGACCTCCATCGCTATTGACTATGTTCCTGACCGTGAGTTCCGTATTGCTTCCTTTCAATATGTACTTCTCATTTTCTTCAATGAGCTTGCCATTCCTAAAGAAGATAAAAGAGGCTAATCTTAGCAAATATGATCTCTAGGTGTCAAATATTTCATGGCTACTGTCATTGACAGAAAATGGCTGTATGCCAACAAAAAGTATGTTTTTAGGAGATCATTAATGCCTAATTAATGATAATAATTAGGCATTAATATTGATAACGATAATATTAAAATTATCCCTGAAAACTGTTTTAACTTTAATATAAAAATAACATTTGAGCTATGTTGAAATCGTGACAATAGTCAGACAAAGAAAAAGAAAAGCACATCAGTCCCATTTCTACTTTGATGATGAGAAAAACTCGTTTTCTTTGTTGATATTTTTTTTTTTTTTGAGACAGAGCCTCAAGCTGTCTCCCTGGGTAGAGTGCCATGACTTCACTGCTCACAGCAACCTCCAACTCCTGGGCTCAAGTGAGTCTCCTGTCTCAGCCTCCCAAGTAGCTGGGACCACAGGCGCCCGCCACAACGCCTGGCTATTTTTTTTGGTTGCAGCCATCATTGTTGTTTGGCGGGCCCGGGCTGGATTCGAACCTGCAACCTTAGGTATAAGGAGCCGGCGCCGGAGCCACTTGAGCCAAAGGCGTCAAGCCTTCTTTGTTGATTTTTAATATCACACATACTTTAAATGTTGGTGAACCAAAACCTATTTAAAAAAAAAATTATTAACTAGCTTCCTGGGACAAATTGGAAATAATTTTTTCCAGAAATTTCTTTTAAGGAAGTTTAAAATAAATACAATATAAATACATAATATATTTATATTACATATAAGTGCCCTCAATGAAAGTGTAAAATTTGAGGATTATGTAAAAACACAACTAATCTGAGAAATGATGCTGCATTATATGTGATAATATAACTCATTGATGATGAGAAGAAATCATTTTTATGTTTCCTCTTAGACACAGATGATTATAACTATTTCCAAGTTCTTTCTGGATGGGCATTCTGCTCCATTTCTAGAAATCTTTACAGCCCTTTAAAACAATCCCTTTCAATCATTTTTACTATAACCCACAGAAGTATTCTAAAAATATTAAAATATGAAATATCTCTACAGTTCTCCTTCATATTTGTGAAATATAATGTGCCTCTACTTCACTTTGACTTTATTCTCATTTCCACTTTCTCCTTTTCTCTTTTTTGACTCTTTTCCTTTATTTTTCTTATAGTAGTAACCTGGGTGACTGAATGGATTTTAAGACTCACTGATGTAAAATTTTGAGGATCTGTTTTTTCTCAGTTGCAGAGATATACGTATCCAAACAAGTTTAAATTTACAGAAAAGAAATCCCCATGAATATTATTAAAAATCTCAGAATTACAGAGAATTGTCTGGTCCACTAAACATTTCTCTAGTTAATTGTGGTTCCACTTTCCAGGAAAAACCAACACATATACTATTATAATCCTTATGTTTCTGTGACTCAATAGCATTTTTCTTCCAATTTCTCATGATATCTCTTTTTTTTTTAAAGGGGAAAAAGCTTGTAATAGTGTATCATGATGTGTGCAAATATTTATTAAGAAGAGTGATGGATCAAGAAATTAATGTTTATAAAATAATAAACAATACATATATAGTCTCTTATACTTTATGTATGCATTCTTCTTCTTACCATTCCAATTTTTCTACAATTGTAAAAAATGACATTTCTGCCTTTTTGTCTAGAATTTAGTGTAAAGATAGGGCTTTGACCACATTTAAGGATACAATATATTTCTTACTCTTTTCAGTGAAACTCAGTATTTGTTCTGAATAATAACAACAGTAGTAATGGCACACTACAGGTTTTAGCAGATTATGGTTTAGCAAACACTTCCCCCGTGTTATTTCCCTTATTAAATACAATCAGCCTGTAGACTGGCATTTCCTTCCTCTATCCTCAGTCACATATCAGATAATGAAAATGTGTGTATATCTCCACCTTGCAATTCACAAATGAAGAGACTCGGGCTCACTCAGCAATATTAGCGGCAGGTTAATTAAGTTCTGTTGTTCTTTCTAATAAAGAGGTTTATCACCCTACTTCATATGAAATGTCCTGCTACAGTTTGGATGTAAAGCAAACATGGATGTCACCCCACATGAAGAATTCATAATCAGGTTGGCTTTATAGAGGTTTATATTATTTCCATTAATTAGCTTGTATAGTATAACAGACCACTTTTTGAGGAGTGGTCTGTTATACTAGGAGAATAAAGAAAGGAAGATAACTTATAGTCTGGGAATTTTCATTGGAAAAGAAGAAAGTTGATTTGGCCTTTGAAGTAGATAGGGACATCGAGAAGCGATTTAGAGGAAAACATTACAAAAAGAGTATGTTCCCACTTAAAAACATCACTAAGGCATAATAAATAAGGTGATATTCTTAATATCCCATTCCCAACAATTGTGTTAGATAGAACCTGCTCCTACTGGTGTTCACAGCCCATTTTGATGGAACATCAAGGTCTGAAAATGTGCTCCCAAGGGATTCTGATACATTCCTTTAAGGTCATCAGTGACAAATCAAACCACCTCTTTAAGTGCCCCTATTCCAAGTACAAGAAAATGGGAGTCAGAGTCATAAAATTAATGGAAGCAATAAAGAATTAAGAATAATTTCAAAAAAAATTTAAAAAGAATAATTTCATTTTTGGCAAGAATGAAAAAACAGTAATCATATTTACCCTCTTATTTTAGTGAGGAGAACACCATTTACATACATACAATGGCAGTTTTTAATGCCATTTTCAACAGGTAGTGCATGACAGTGGCCCCCGAGGACCACACAGTTTATTGCCTGAAGATTCAGGCTACAGCTGGGAAAGGGAGAACCTGAACAGACACAGGCAGTGTATGTGGGTGGAAAGACAGAGTTCACAGTTGGAATAGACCAGCTGGCTAGGATTTGCAGTTAGAAAGTGTGAGAGAAGATAGATGCCTGCAGAGGGCCCCCAGTGCATCTTTCACTGAATATTGGTGACCGAGCGCAGGTCAGCAGGGCTTTCTCAAGCTGAGAAAGAATCATTAGTAAAGATCAAGTACAATAACTCCCAAAACTTACATAGCCCCAGGGGGAATTTGTGTCTCAACTATACAGAGTGAAAGACTTCCTAAACATGGGGCTTTTAATTATGTCCTTAGAAGAACATTGCCTCGGTAATGGAGACACATTAACCCTGGGTTGAAGCTTATTCTATATCCACCTAAAAGAACCTAAAGGGAAGCCTCAAGATGAAAAACATTTTCCATGTAACTAACTCAGCTGCATCTTTAAAACAAAGTGAAAGAATGCTAAAATAGGCAGCTCCCCAAAGCAAAAATTATCAATGCCAGGCACCCAAACAAAATTATCAATATAGCCAATAAGCACAAAAATATGGAGGAAACCAAATAAAATTATATAGTAATGATAGAAATACCATATTAGTGGACCTATTTGTTAAAACAGCTATTCAAAATATATTGTAATATATTTAAGAAAGTAAAACCTGAAAATGAAGAGAGGAAAGGAGGCATGTAAAAGACCTTCCTCAAACTTACAGAAATCAAAAGTAGAATGATTGACCAAAAACACTGTAGAGGGATTAAGAACAGATTAGACGTTACAGTAAAAATATGAGCAACTTAAAGACAGAGCAAACTGAAAAATGGAAAGAAGACTAAAACAAAGTTTGGTCTGGTATTGTTTTCCTTATCTCCATAAATAATTTTCACAGTACAGATCTCATGCAGATAAATGTTTATACCCATGAGAATAGAGCTTCAAAAAAGATGAAACAAAGCAATGAAAACTGAACATTGAAATAGATGCATTTAGAAATGAAGCAGAAAGGGCGGCACCTGCAGCTCAAGGGAGTAGGGCGCCAGCTCTATATGCCGGAGGTGGCAGGTTCAAACCCAGCCCCAGCCAAAAACTGCAAAAATAAATAAATAAATAAATGAAGCAGAAAAAGAATAGAAATTAAAAAAGGACAAAGAAGGTTTGAACAACACTATCAAGCAAGTTGATTCATTTAATATTTAGAGATTTCCACACCCATTGATAGTGGAATACAGCTTTCCACTATTACAAACTTCCAAATGTACATAGAACATTTACTAATACAAACCTAAAAAAAAGGCTCATTAAGATTATCTATATTAATATCTCTAAAAAGTATGTTTCCCTGACAAGTCTGAAATTTAGTTAGGAATCAATGGTGAAAATATTTATGAAATATTCCAAATACTTAGAAACAAATTCATGTATTTCTAAGGAACCAATATCAAAAATAGCAAGGACATTTTAAGAAATATTTGACCTCAATGACAATGGTAACTTGACAGATAAAAATTAGGAGGGGGCAATTAAAGCAGTGTTTACAGAAGAAATCACATATTAGAAAATATGAAATGATTGAAGTCAATGACATGTGTCCAACTTAAGCAACTAAAAATAAGAAAAAAATTAAACACTGACGTGACAGAAAAAATATACATAAAATCAGAAATCAATAAAATAAGTGAAAAACTCAAGTGAATTCAAAGTGGGGAACAAGGGAGCAGGCAGAAGGGGCGAGGGTTGGCGATGGGTGTGCTCCTCTAAATGAGCACCATGTTAGGGTGTATGGTACATGTTTTGGGGGGTAGGACACGATTATAAGAGGGATGTTACCTAACAAATGTAAACACTGTAAGCTAATTTTTTGCATCCTCAATTAACCTGAATCAATAAAAAAAAGAAAAATCTACTCTTAAATATACTAGGGGAAAAAGTCTAAAAAAGAAATAAAATAAAAAATTTTAAAAAATGCAAAAAAAGGCAGCACCCATAGCTCAGTGGTTAGGGCAATCGGCCACATATATCCAGGCTGGTGGGTTCGAATCCAGCCTGGGTTAGCTAAATAACAATGACAACTGCAACAAAAAAATAGTTGGGTGTTGTTGTGGGCACCTGTAGTTCCAGCTACTTGGGAGGCTGAGACAAGAGAATCATGTAAGCCCAAGAGTTGGAGGCGGCTG